TGATGTACATAAGGTTTTTCTAGTGTACTCTCTAACTTATTCTTTAGGTAAAGATCACACAAAGCAAAGCACATGTGGAAGCAATAAATGTGATAAATAAAGAGCAAGAGTTAGATATGGCAAAGTCCAAGAAATGAGGCGATTATCCTATTGTATTGGTTGCCAAAATGCAACTCCTACTCCACGTTGGCGCTCCACCGAGATACGCTCCGGGTCACCAAACCCCCCTTGTCATGGTGTTGGGTTTGCCACCAAGACTCCCGCCAACCAAGGCAAGTGCCACAAGCAACCTACAGTCACCACCGCCACCTGATTATTTTGGTCACCCTGTGTCTTCACTATGGAGTTTCTCTAGTAAGGAAGGGGTCTCCCCATCCCCTACACACTAAGTTTCCACCACTGCACATCAAGCTCGATGGGATGGAAAGCCACCAAGCATTGTTCTCTTCAACAATTACCGTTTAGCCCATTTAAATACTATGCAAATGCTACACAGTGGTGCGCCGTTTTTTATTAGTCAACCATTTATCTTGTTTAATTGGTCATTTAGCTTGTTTAGTGTACCGTTTAACTCGAATAATGGATAACTGGTAGGTGACCTAGTGTTTACCGATTATCATTTAGGAAAACACTACCACCAAGGAAAAAAAACTTTGACATACCACACTATTTTTTCCATACACATGGAAAGATCTGCCAATTTTGGATAGCATGGAGCATTTTGTAGAAGTTTACTGAATGGGTGTTACAATATGAGAGGAACTGATTCTACATAATGGAAACATTAGTACAGTCTTTGCTTCTCTTGAAACAACATAGCATTCAACTATTATAGCAAGTTTATTACATATACCAAGAACACACAATCCATGGTGGAAAACAAATGAATAGGGTAGCGGTTTTTAGGAAGCACTTTGGTGAGATGATCACTAGGACTAACATGTGCGTTATTAAGGTACTAGGACTAACATGTGTGTTAAGGTGTGTGAGACATACAAGTTATAATAGGTCCTATGGATGCAATAGAATAGGTGGTGTGAAGAATGGCAAAGAAACAGAGTCAAAACGACAAATTATGCAAAAACAGCACGTGCCAAATGGTCCGATAGGCTATGGCGTGCTGGATAAACATTAGTGTTGGTAACACATTACAAATGCACCCACCTGATGGAACAATAGTAGTGTGCATCGAGCACACCATCCATGTTATGCCCACACCATGCTGGTGTCGGCACCCTCTATATTAACTCCCTTGTTGGCATCCCCAAAGATAGCCATGGAGGTGAGTTGAGGTGGGGGCTAAGGAGCCAATCATGGAGGAGGGAAGGGATGGGAAAACCACGCCAATAGCTATTGGCCAGCCATGGAAAAGATAACGGGAGGATGGGAGGCCACCATGTGCTCATTTGTCCTCACCAATGATGTTGTCATATCATAGAGTGTAGGGCTAGTGGCGAAGAGAGTTTGGAGGGAAGCAGGGTATTGGCCTCCAGTCATGGAGGAGAGGAGACAGGAGTGGTGCATCGGCCATTGTGCATATAAGTGGAGGACAAAAGGGGAGGTGAGGAATGACCGAAGGAGAGAAGTGGGGGAGTGGCTAGGCATGGAGGTAAAACTGATAGGGTCCTAGGGTGTTGGCTGGGATGTTTGGTTCATGAAGGGTTGATCTCAGACGTCTAATGAGAATGGGCGGACACTATTGCTTGGTGTCATATGGGCTCTTAGCAAGCCAACACCTTAATGGGTCGTTCCTATGCCAGCACTATGGGCTGAGGTGTCGGCCCAAGCATGGCCCTAGCCACTAGGCCATGATTTATCAATCTACGCCTCATACCGCCCATTTGATTCAGCTGATCTGGCCATTTCTACTTTATCCCTAGAAGAACTATATAAAATCTGAGGCGGTAGAAGGGGCAACTCCCAACCATCCCCCAAAAAACTCCCCTGACCCTAGCTCTCCGTCCACCGCCACTGATAGCTATCGTGCGGTGGCGGCGACCTCCGCCTAGGACGGCGGTGAAAAAGATGCTCACCGCCACCCCTCCCTCCCTTATTTATCTTTCATGCTATGCTATGGCGTCCAACCTTGTTGGCGGCAAGGTCATAGGTTTGGGGCCTCCTAAACTAGATCTGGCATCCTCACCACCGGATCTGAAGCTCCTGTGGCATTTACTTCATCTCTGGTGGCTTGGTCGCACCTTGTTGCAACAGGATACCTCTATAGAGCTGACATCCTTAGTGTCCATGGCGGCCTACGAGGCGGCCTAATTCGGTGCCACCTAGGCTGGATCTGGTCTGTTGAATGGTGGAGCCCATGGTGGCAAGCCACCTGTAGCTGGCTAATGTCTTCGGCGGCCACAACGGCCTTCGGGGTTGCCTGATCTAGTGCCTCCAAGGCCGGATCTGATCTCCCCTACAACCAAGCTCTAGAGTGAGGCGGCGTGGCCGCTCTGACTAATGGCGGTGGCTTACAGGCCACCACCCTCCCCTACCTGCACCTAGCTGATGCCTTCGGCGGCCACTGCAGCCTTAAGGGCTGCCTGATCCGGTGCTTCCAAGGCCAGATGAGGTCTCCCCTACATAAAGTCGAGCTCTGGGGTGAGGTGGCATGGCCACTCTGGCTGATGGTGGTGGCTTGCTGCTATTCATGGCTGCAACAGCATGGTCAGTACCTATAGTGTCTATGCGTGATTTGTGCATTTCACTGCCTTGCACGAGCTTTTGAGGTCTCAAGCAGTGCTGCGCCCCAGTGCTTGTTTGGCACTAGGTTGTTGGTCTGCAAGGCGTGAGGTTTGCGACAAGATGGATGAGGCTGGTTTTGCATTGCAGTTGCTTGTGCAAGCTAGCCAGGGCTCAAGTAGTAGGTGTGGTCTATGCTTCATTTCATCATCCTTGCTCTGAGTGGTAGTCCTATAGCTCAGGATCTAGGGGAGTCTAGGCAAAAGCCATGCACGACTCTGTCGGTGCTATCGACGGTAATGCCATCGGGCACCATATCCTCCTAGGAGGCATAGTATCCTTCTCTAGGACTACAACTAAGGATACCACTAGGTGAAAACCTAGTTCCCATGCTTTCGGACCAGTGATGATGGCGACATCGGCATCGTTGTGTCCTACTTGTAGGCATCAGCATGGAGGTGTGCCTCAGAATTGGCCAAGCACTTTCTTCAGGGTCCACTTCTAGCTTTCCCTAAATGGGCGTACAAGTTGTTTGTCGGGTGCATCGCTCTAACATCCTCTAGGATCCTTCACTTATGTCGGGTTAGCAAGACCATGGTCCCTCTCTTGGATTTCCTCGCTCTTCATTTGTTGATCCTCCCTCCCTGAAGACTTCCTTCCCTTAAGGGGTGTTGGTGGACGATGACTAGAGCCCAGATGTGCACCATAGATGATGTACATCATGACTGTCATCTATCGACCTTGACTTTGTGCCTTCCAATCGTGTGGAATGTGGAGTTCTTTGGAGAGCTGTCACTTGGTGGTGTGCAATGTTCAGCGATCAATGACATGTTTTCATCATGGGTAGCTTGGTTGTTCCACCTCATGTGCCTTGTCTCTAGATGTTTTTCCTATGTTGTGCTGCTTTTGTTTGTGTCTATGCTCCTATCTCGCCCTGCTATGTAACTCTGGAGTTTGCCCCAATTTTGTAACCTTCCATTCCCCGCTTCGCCAGTATATGTGGAAATATATTGGGAACTATCCCCCCCTCCCACCCCCACCCCAGTTGGCTTGCCAAAAAAACTATAAAATCCAAGAGCCATTGTGCCACATCATCTTAGCTTACTTTGCCATGGGCCGCCACTATGTCATATCAGCTTTGACACATGTGACATGGAAGTATCAGATCCCTCCACATGCCGGTTGACACCTAGCTTCCTCCCAAACATATAACCCATGGTAAATACCATGTTATATCTTACCATCACTACTAAATTCAACACCAAGAATTCTGCAACGACCTTACACTGGCCGAGTTTTACAACCACCACTTCCCCTTTTTTGGAAACTTCAGTTTTTTTAGATAACCTTGTTGAAACGGTAATCAAATTCGGATTTTGTTTATACATTTGAAAATATTTTCTAGAAGAATATTTGAGATGTTGCAAACTACACTATGTGAAGGACTGTATCTAAGCGATGCTCCAAGGATATTTCCGTCATAACATGTTATACAAAAATCTATCTGTACTCACCATTATTTTGCCCTATCATATAGCTCACTCAATACATCCTCAGATTAGGATACTCTTAGATAGCATGATAGGGAAGCCTATTTGTCTTCTTGGTGATAATTTTAGTATATAATAATACTTTCAATCAAGAACTTGTTGGATCATGTTTTGCTCATAACAACAGAAATACAAATACACAAATATAGCAACGAGAGACACATTTCAGTCAGCAACTCAACACCCGGACCACCTGCTGGTCGTCCTATAGTGGTTGTAGAAGGCATATACATTATATATAGCAGTGTTTGATTAGCATTAAAGATTGGACTTATATTGGACATACTTATATTGGCAAGATAATATCAAGCGGTTACTAAAGGCGTTTCTAATTAATTCTTGCCTAAAGTATAATTTGATATTTTGTGGCTGAATAAATACATGCCTTTCAATTTTAAAGCAAATAATATATAACTAATGATAAAGCAACGGTCCAATCCTAAAACTTCATTTTATACTTTCCCAGCGTTTATTAACAAATGGACCCCACCATGACCATGCAAAAAAAGGGGGCATCATGGTCCATGACACATAGTATTCAGTATTAACCATTCACAAGTAGCATGTGATGATATACTGTTTCTTATGAAAAGCATTTTTTCATGCGTCTGAGTTTCGAGGAAATTGTATCTCTGACAGCTCCTTTTCTTCTATATATAGGATTCTTCATAGGCTCCTATCCTTCACAACCAAACACATTGCCTCTCAACAAAATTCAACCATTTCTTAGTCACATACTGGTAGTAGCTGGTTTGAATTCTCCACAAGAGAATGACTAGGACGCCTAGGAGAGCTGGAATTAGCTACATTAGGAATAATAATGGTTGTAGAGCCACATTCTTCAAGCGGCGTGCTGGGCTTTACAAAGCTGCCGCTGACTTGTCCACCCTCACTGGCACAAGAATTGCTATCATGCTACAATCTGAGAATGGAAAGATGTCCTCTTTCGGCACTCCATCGGCTAGTGCTATCGCCAATTCTTTCCTTTCAGGGGATGCACAAGTAGATCCATTCGTCAACCAGGTACAAAAAGACAAAATCACCCTTTTGCGGAATGAGCTATTCATGGTGGAGAAAGAGAAAGCCATGGAGGACAAGAGGACAAAGGAGAACACTGCACGAGTCAAAGAGCTTTGTGCGATCTCAAGGAAGGTTAAGCTTGTCTATAGCAAGGTAGAGGATCTCAATGTTGAGGAGCTCAGTGAGCTTCTGCTTGACCTCTCACGGGTCCAGCGGGAGATTAACGATCGACTTCCTCCACAGCAACCTAGCAACTAGCTAGAGGATGGTGGGTCAAGAGACCCTTTGCTCCGGTTGTTGTCCTCTTTGCCATCACATTCAAAGAACCCGCTGCCACCTAGACGTCTACCATGGACACATATACAACCATCCTTGCATGTTGCAAAATCATCATTGTCCCTTCCACAGTCATCATGGTCACAAGCTACTCTTCTTAATCAAACCATACTGCCAATGGCACAAGCACCATCGATGTCACTGTTACAACATGGTCTAATGCCATCACACCCTTTAATGGTCAAACCACAAGCATAAATGTTGTCATCATCTAATGAAGCCCATCAGCACAACTATAATAATACACAGGGCCGGGGGTGCACATCAATAGTAACATCTTACAACCATCCTCACAATCCTCTCTGATATCTATGCTACAACCACCACCTTCATCATTAGCGCAGATTACGTTCTATAATGAACTTCCTCCTCCATCATTGTTGCAACAACCGCCAACTTTGTTGCCTCCAGAACCCGAGCTTCACCCAGCAACACAGCCTGAAAACCATGCAAGCATCGAAGACTTCACTGCTACTCACCCATTTCCCATTCATCAATGGCCTTCATCTATTCAATCTGATGGGCCATATTTTGATGCTTGTATGGATTGAATCTTTGCTTGGGAGACCATGGTGATACTAGAGAGCAAGCTTCTGGTGGTTACGACATGCCAGGTTCATTTGTACTGCTTCAACAATCTTATAATTGTCCCTACAAGAACTCCATAGATTCTTCTTCAGAAGGAGCTAGAACAACATAGTGATGATGGTCCTGGAAATAATCTTGTTGATATGGGCTGCCTTGATGATAGTTGATACCACAATTTTAGTTGTTCTTGTGGTTTATTTAATCAATATGTGTTTGAGTTGTCGAGTTTATTGTTATAAGGGAATCAAATATTATTTAGTCCACTCGTCTAAGTCTAGCCTATTTAGGGAGTTCTACATGTATTGGTATATCAGGGGATGAAATCTTGAAGTTTGCTTCATAGGTCCAATCCTTGCATCATGCAATGTGTTGTATCCATCATATATATCATTGTATGAAATCTTTTGTTCAAAAATGGTACTTGTTGCTGCTTACATAATAAGGGTGAAGGCTATGAAGTTGAACCCATTATGTCTTTTTATAGCATACTTCATTAGTTTTGTTGTCATAAGCCCTAGCCGAACCGTTTTAGCTAGAGGCACGTATGTTCCAAAAGGCCTGCTATCTTAGAAGGATTCCTTTCAAAGGTAGCTGATGGGCAAGAGTGCGCCAACACAATTCTGACGTTAGTTCGGGCCATTCATTTTCCATTTCTTTTTTGGTCCAGGTGTGGTCCCTTGTTCAGCCAGCCTTGCTCTTGTATTTTTGTCCATGGGACCCACCACCACTAACCTTGTCTTTTTGGCTTATCATGTACACCATAAAAATATTAAAAGTCATTAAATTTTACAGAATAAAAATCAACAACTCATCAAGAAAAATGAACATATATCTTGAATATAATCGTCTTCTTATATGCAGGTTGTTTAATAATATTGACTCCACTGGATCCTTGAGAGATGAATTGGAGATTAATTCAATCTACCTCAAGAGAAGAACCTCTCTAATGGCTCCTTGAGGCTTTTAGGATCACCAAAACAAAGCTACCATTTTAACCGGTCTCACACCTTATCTAGGTAATGCCAAGAGGCAGTGATAGCTAATGTCAAATAACCTAATGGTTTGCTTACTACTAATGAAAGTTATGCCAATTTTTGCCACTTTGTAAAACGAGCATAACGCGACAACTGATGTGTCAGCTCCTCTAAAGCCACAATGCATGCCATAGCTTCCACCAAAATCACAAGCATGCATCCCATAGCATAGCAGGGCTCCAAGTGTGATTGCCAGCCATGATGCCAATGCCAATGGCTAGTCTGTGAACAACTGATGGTGTCAATGACCTGGTGTAATGGCAGCATGGTGAGGTATGCATAGAAAACCAGTCGATGTGACCGGCGGGCATGGCGGTGGCCTTGCTATCAGTCCACGGACACCCACGCGCAGGCCATGGTAGACCAGCGCCGTGCTTGCCCACCTAGAGGAAGCTCTCAAGTCTGTAGCACCCAGTGCGCCACCGGCGGGCGCTGTGCGTGGTTGGCATAGGCGAGTGAATGTGGTAAGGCTCTAGGCGACGGCTAGGCAGCTGCCACTGCCAGATCCGGTGGCTTGCACGCCTTTCCCAAGCTATCCTCGGTCTCGGTAGTGGGCGGCGTGCAGGTGGACGACGCACATCCACATCACCCACGTCGTGCATAGGTGCTAGCTAGCCAGATGCACCTTCACGCGCTCTGTGTCATACACCGTGAAGTCAAGCCAGCGAACTTCCTCGTCAACGCAGGAGTTGTGCTCCTAGCGCAGCAGGCCTATGACTCCACGGTGAAGGCTTGATTCAGCAATTTTTGGAATCTGGGCAAAAGCCTTATCTAGTTTTGCTCTGATCCGGCGATGATGGCGCATCTAGCGTCATTCCACTCCTTGGAGGCATCGTTAAAGATTCTGCTACTGCTTTCGCTCAACGGAGCATGTCTGGGGTGAAAGCCCTCCCTGCCTTGGCCCACAATGGTGCTGTCGGTGGATGTCACTCTCCTTGTTGAAAGCATCGTAAACTACATCCTATGGCCATCCATGTCTCGATGCCATCTTGTGCTCCTCCTGACTAATCTTTGAGGCTTGTGTTGTCCTCAATGGCCATCCACTTCTCCCTGTTCTACTCTTCCACTTCTCCCTGCTCTGGTTCAATTACCCTCCTACTCGCTTTTGCACACACTGGCTACTGGCTTGTGTTGTCCTCAATGGCTTGCTCCGTCGTCCTCTAGGTCACTAGAGTGCTCTGCCTCATCTTATGCGAGGTTGCAGGACCATGACCCCCTCTCTTAGATCTCCTCATTCTCCTATCGATGGTCCTCCCTCCTTTGAGGCTTCCTTCCCCCGAAGGGCGTAGGTGGGCGTCGGTTGGATCCCGGATGTTTCTCATAGGCGATACAACTCCTAGCCATCATCTGTTGATTCTAACTCAGTGCCATGTGGCAGAACCACCCGAAATAGCACGCTTTCATTGGCGCTCGTCTTCCACCAGACACTAAGCGCCCCCGAAAGTAAGCTACCTCGGACGGTTCCGTCGAGCACACCCAAGGGAGAACTCAAATAATCCATGTTTTTCCTCCAGGATCTAATAATGAGAACGAGTTTACAATACTTAGTCCATTTCATACAACAAGAGTTCTCAGAAATACATTATTACAATACCAAGTTCAGAATGCGGAATTTAAACAACGGAATTGAAATAAACATCTAGCGATAAGATACAAGGATCTGTCTGTGCCCACCAGAAGAATCCTCCACACAACAACCCTTCCTCAAGCTGCACCTGCAACAGGGGTAAACAAACCCTGAGTACACAATGTACTCACAAGACTTAACCGACTAGTGGGAATAATTTCTCGACTCCAAAGGATATGATAAGCTTTATGGCTTGCTAGGTTTCCTTTTTGCAGAAAGCAATACTAGTAGTGAATTCTTATGTATGTGTTTTATTAGCAGTCATGATTAGTTCATTAGCTAACCATTCTATGTAAGAACTTGTTCTACTTTTAAGCATTGAGCAATCAGATCCATTTCACCATCTTTCATCTTCCAGTTCTTACTATAGTGCTAGATCGTAGACAAGTCGTACCGTATTACATGGCGATTCATGAATCAACGTAGCCCAGTTGGGTACCCTGAAACACACGCCCCGCTTGTACCCCAGGCACAAGCAGAACCAACCCACCACTCTCCTGTCAAGGGTTCCAGGTCCCCGTCCAAACTTGGACTCCAAGCCCCCACACCGGAGTTCCGGACTCAGTGTGGTGCTTAGACCTTCACCATCCCCGCCTCTAATCAGTCGGTCCAGAAATAGCCGAAACCCACGACAAGAGAGCAATGAGCCTTCCTTGCTCCCATAAACATGTATGTGATTAGGATAATAAGTCTGTGACCTGACTAGAATCCAATGCAATGGCCTGTCCTTAACCGACATGGATAGGAAAAACAGTGTAACCAAGCTATACCTCATTGGTCGCGGGATACAACCTCTTACACCCACCAATACCCGTACCATATCCCTGCCCAGTCTCCATTTCCTTTCACCATTTTATCATGAGAGTGATAATAATAATCACCTATTGTGAGTAACGGCAGGTTACTCACGCTACCGCAAAACCTAAGCATAGCAACTACGTGGCCTAAGCTAGTAGGGCTCATAGGTAGGTATATCTATGCATGTAGTTTCAATATAAATCCTGTAACATAAATGCATATCACATATATATATCCAGTGATTATTCAAAATAAGGGTTATGCACTAGGGCTTGCCTTACGTAGGCGCGGTGTCAGCTCAGTCAGTCAGTGGTGGCTCTGAGACCTCCTCCTACATGAGGATCTCCTCCTCATACTCCTCGATCACCTCCTCGAACTCGTGGTCTCCGATGGCCACGATCTCCGCCAACTCGTTCTCTACATGCATGCGATGATGCAACACTTAGCATTAAGGCAACAGCAGTTCTTAAAATAAGAATACATCTACTAAGCCACTAAGCTAGCTCTAATGACTAAGATACCGAGCTAATCATCATTCCTATCAAACCAGCAGGATTTCACCTAACAAGTGCTACTTAACAACTAAAATATCTTCTTACTCTTATTAACGATTTACTATATACTAAAACAAGGAGTACTTAGGTACCATATTTCTCAACCTATTCTAAGGCTACAAAAATTACAGTGAGCACATAATAATACAATGAATCTACTGTAAAAATTTCAGAGTTTTTGTTATCACAAATCTACCACAAAATTCCTACAATAATTAATCTAATAATATTAAGCACTCTCAAATGATTTAATAGCTCCTGATATCGACAAGTATATATATGAACTAAATACACTAACAAATAGAGCACAATTTTAGGAACTTAACAAAATTAGTTTCACAATTTTTGGATACCTACATGATTTTATATGATTTACCAAAGATCAGCTCAGAAATACAAATGAAAAGCTATTTCTATTCTCCCTAAAAAAATAAACTCAATTCAGCCCAACGCGGCCCACGCGGCGCAATGCGCACAAGCGCGCGAGCGCGCGGCGGCCCACAGGCGAGGTGCGTCCCACGCGCGGAGGCGGCCCGTGGCGAGGAAGCCCGCGCGCACCGGCACTCTTGCAAAAATGCCCCTGGACTATGAGCAAAACAACCCACAGTCCACGTTACTATTTCTATAGATAGTGACTTTGCAACGAAACCCTCGGATCTTCTCCTCTTTACAATGGCAAGGTCCTTGTCCATCCCCGTGCTCTCTAGCGCGGCGAGCGATGGCACTGGCGCTTACGCCAGCCACATGGGACCCCCGCTGACCTATCTATGAGGCCGACGCTCACCTAGTGTTTGACACGAGATGATGGGCGACGGTTGCATGAGCCAGGACTCCGTAGAAGGACCTCTCCACGACGGCGGGCACCCTGCGGCAATGGTGTCAGCGTTCAGGTGAGCCGCAGCAGCAACAAGGCGGTAGGGGTAGCGGGTGAGCAACGACCACTCACCAGT